ATGTTTGAAGATTGTTTATTTTTATAATGAAAAGCTTTAGTCCTTAAGTTATATAGGTTATTAAGAATTACAGGTGAATAGTCACCCATGTTTGTCATACGTATAATTATGTTAGTTAGGGTCTCTAGATGCGCAGAGATGTACTCTGCATAGATAGGAAATCCTCAAACACTCCAAATACCTACCGAATAGGGCATTTAAATGTGTTAAAAATTTAGAATTCTGGGCTGGAGAGATGGCTCAGCAGTTAAGAGCATTGCCTGCTCATCCAAAGGTCCTAGTTCAATTCCCAACAACCACATGGTGGCTCACAACCATCTGTAATGGGGTCTGGTGCCCTCTTCTGGCCTGAAGGCATACACACAGACAGAATATTGTATACATAATAAATAATAAATAAATATTTAAAAAATTTAGAATTCTGTTGACATGAGACACGACTGCTCCTGGAAGTACTGATCTGCTCCCAAGAGAATGATGGACACGGAAGACACTCCAGATGGAGCTTGCTTTCTTCTGGACAAAACTGGCCTACCAGGCAAAGAACTGCCCTTGCCTTACAGCTGACAATAAGGACACTGTCCAATCTTGACAAGCAGGATTTGAGGGAAAGAACTGTTGAACCTTGCCAAGACAGGGTAGAACAGTCTTTCAAAATTTTCTGCTTCTGAAAACGGCCTGTCAGATATTCTAGGCCTATAGCCAAAGTTGGTTGCCCCAACATTGCAGAGAGACCTTGAGTAACTGTCCAGGTAGCCAGCTGTTTCCTGTCATTTCCTGCACATTTTGGAAGTCGCTTGCTTGCACTTCCTGCTTACTCGGGTAATATTATTTTCCTTCTCAGGTCTTTGATGGGGTTGAAAACTAGATAGTCACAGCTACTATCCTCTCTTATCTCAGCTAAGGCATTTTAGGAACAAGACTTAGATGCTTCAGGATAGGACAACTTTCAGAATAATCTCTGTTATTTGCCAGTTACCTATAGCTGGGATATTTAGTATGTGTCTCTTGATTGATGTTGTTCTTGTTGATTATAGTTTCATTTTACTGTATGTTATTAACCTTTTTTTCCTTGAAAATACTTGGTAATTTTTCTTATTGTATATAGTTTTGCATTAGGTTTAGAACCTTCCTATTTAAACAAAAGGGAAAAATGCTGTGGAATTTTTTTCCACCAATAGCTTTGG